CGACTATGGATGCTCCTTAGTAGATCAACTTCTATACAAGGGCAACTGAAGGTTGTGTCATGTTGAGAGTGGGAGTGTCGACTTGCAAGGGTTTGCCTATGCCGTTGCAATTGGGAAGAAAACCTGCGGATTCATGTATTCTACTGGTAACTCTTGTAGTGAAACCCAAATTGGCATCACCGGGGGGTCTTCTTCAAACTTGAAATCCAGTTTCCATTTAAGTGTTCTCATCTGAAAGCCTTGCATATTCCAAGCCGTTCTTATCCACCACCTTTGATAATCTTCTTTACGTTCGACTCGTATTAATATGTGCCTAGGGTTCATCAATCCAATGAAATAATTCCCACAAAACCCTATTTTTTCAAACTCTTTTTGCACCTCTTCGATCTTCGGTCTTCCATATGAGAAATTCTCTGCTAGGCTTAGTCGGTGAAAAGCAACGAGATTATCATATCCTTCATCATCAAACTCAAGTACAGGGGTGCCGTTCACAAACTTGAACAGTTTAAAGTTTTGATTCACTGCAAAGGTTGAATCTGGGGACTTATGAAAAAAGCTAGCAAAGGTTCGTGTCGGCCCAGTAAGAGCCGCCACATCATTATTGCCAGCCATGAGGCCGTAATCTTCTTGGGTGTGAGCCGGCAGTAGGGTTTTGGGTTAAGCAAGAGAGAGAGGTTATTCACATTTCATATGTTTTAATTCTTGATAACAATAACATTTTGTTCAACTATTAACAAATACTATTTTATTCTAAAAAATTCAAAAATGGGTACTATATTTGATTTGTAAGAGATTAATTTGAAACATGTTAGATCTTCAATATTTGTAGGGCACTAAAGTGCCTTTTATGCTCTACAAATTTCAAAATATTCATAATTATAAAGCATATTTTTTGGAAGGTAAAAGAGCATAAGTATAGTACTATGAACAAAATTTATCTTTATTTTAATTTAAAATATCAATTATATCACCACAGAGCCGCGACCTATTGCCAGGTGGAAGTTTCTTTGTAGGTTAGTCATTCCGCTTTCGGTTATTCTCCAACAATATCGAGAACGCTTCTGTCGCAATTATTTTTTCTTTTCATAAGACATGATGCAACTTAACAATCCAATACGAACAAGGATTATGCATCCCATTTACTTACTTAAAGGAGAGTCCTTGAAATACACGTGTCAGCTCCATATTCAACGTTTTCCCGCCTAAACACTAAAATCCCTATACAAACAAAAAAAGTTACACGTGGCACTCTATATTTGCTGAAAAAAGAACCTGTAAATGTTTTGGAAAAAATTAAAAAATCAAGTTATTCATTTGCAATACTCCCTATATTCAAGCTCCAAATCAGGAACTCCGACTCCACATCCTTTCTCGATGTTAATCGGGTTGTTTTGTTTCACAAATCAGTTTTGAATCAAATTCAAAATACAAATCCCAAACTAAAGAAAAAAAATATTTCAATGAAGTCGATTAAAGATTTAGTCTCCTTTGTACTAGGTCAAAGGCATCGCCTTCTCCACCTCTTCTGTAGAAGTGAAAGGGGAAATTCCAAATTCGATGATGATGTTGGCGGCTAAATAGATCTTTTCGCAAATCCGATCAGAAGCTTTTGTTGGATCTCTCATGTAATTAGCTTATTGCTTTCATGCCCAACGACGATGAAATTTCCTTCAAATCCATCGTCGTCTTCCGCTCCGATCAACAGATCCCCTCGATGATTTTATTTTTAGTTTATATTTTGTTAAGTTCTCTTGATTTTATTTTCTTTATTATTTGGATCAATGAAATTTCTTTATTATTGCCATTATCACCTAGGAAATGAAACCAGCAAGATTGTCAAAAGCTCGTAGATTGTATTGTCGCAAGACTGAGATGTTGGAGTACGAGAAACCTGTCGTATGCTGCTAGGTTACAATTAATCAACTCTGTTTTACTTCATATGCATGTGTATTGGGCAAACGTGTTTGTTTTGCCTCGAAGTATTTCAGAAATGGTTAATAGATGTTGTAGAGAGTTTTTATGGGGAACTAAAAAGGATGGAAGGTATACTGCGTTGGTTGGCTGGGAGACTGTATGTCATAGTAAATTAGAAGGATGACTGAGTATCAAAGATGCAAGGTGTTGGAATGAGCCTGCTCTGATTAAGCAGTTGTGGTGGCTGGCGTTGAAAAAGGACAATTTATGGGTCAAATGGACCCATGAATTGTACCTTAAACACACCACCATATGGGATGTAGCAGTCAAGCAGGACTGTAGCTGGCATTGAAGCAGCTGTTGAAGATTCGGGATAAGATAAGAGGTGAATTTGATGGTGGCAGATGGCAGCATAATTCGACTGGGCTATACAGAATCAATGAGGGATACAAATGGTTAGTTGGAAGGTTGAGATCAAGCCAGGAAGCTCAGTGGATATGGGCTAGACTGAATATCCCAAAGCACTCATTCATAGCTTGGGTAATGTGGAAAGGCAGGTTATGGACGAAAGATAGATTGATTCAATGCCATGTTGATATTAGTGATGAAGAATGTTGCCTATGTCAGAATCGGAAGGAAAGCCTGAACCATCTGTTCTTTGCTTGTTGTTATGCCAGTAAGGTGTTAAAAATGATCAAAGAGTGCCTGGGTGTCCGCAGGCTTTCAGGGTAGAATTTGCAATGAATGACAGAGATAAAATATGTGTGGAGAACTGCAAAAATGAAGAAGAGTATTCTGCTGGCTGCTGTGATGGTTGCCATATACCATCTATCGGAAGAAAGAAACTGGAGAATCTTCCAAGGGAGAAGAAGGACAGAGGAACAGCTGGTGCAGTTGATCAAAGAAGAACTAAGGATCAGGGTAAAGTTCTGTTATAAGAAGCTTAGTATAGCTGAAGAGGCAATTGTAAAAAGTTATTGTTTGTAAAATGAATTTGCAGTACATCAGGAAATGGAAGATGTAATAGGGAAGTAGGAGTGGTTGTATAAAACTGGTGTTGGCAATTGCGAAGTGGAATATATTTACTGTTTGACCAAAAAAAAAAGAAAGAGTTAATCTGGGAATAGGGAATCTGGTGTTCCAGGAACAAATTCAAGCGACATCAACAATTCAAATTAAAAGCCAATGACCAACAGCCCCAAAATTGGAGCAGTGGGAAGGAATCTGACGGCACCAAGATTTTCTGGTGAAGCAAATTAGTCTGGCGAAGTCAACCGATCAAATGCAATAGAATTAAAATGTGAAAATTATTTATTTGGGAAAAAAATCAGAACCTATGCTCTGAAATCATTAAGTCCGTTCCCGGATCCTCTTCACCTACATACCCAATCTGTAAGATTTTTTTCCTACCTTTTTCTCATTTTTTGTTAAGCTATTCTTCTCTTCCCTACAAATTAATCGGTCTCTTGTTCGGTAGTTTTACAAAAAAAATTTCTTTGCGTTTTCGTCAGTATTCGTAGTCAGGAAAGGAATTATAATTGTCTGTTTTCTGGTCGAATTGGTTTGATGAATAGATGTCACCGTGTTGATTTTCATGATGATCTTCATTGATGAATAGATGTCATGTGAGATTACCTTGATTGATTTTCGCCATTGGATATCTTGGTAGTTGGTTTTATCTCTGTCTTTTAATTATTATTTTTCATTGAAGCAAGGTCTTTTGTATTATAAGCTTTATAATACGTTTGACCATTTGATTTCAGTTGCTCATCCATGTGTTTAGAGAAATGTATTGCTCGGGTATCAATTGTTTTGCCATTTTAACGGGTAATAAAGATGCAGTTTTATTTCTTTCTCCTGGCTGCACAAGTTGATATGGGTGCTGATTCGACTATACCCACTGTTCGAGCAATGTAGTTTAGGTCTCCCCAATATACTATGACACCCCTCCTACTTCAGCTTCATTTGTTTTTTTAATTTTAGGGGATGATGTATATATGAAAAATGGGTTCTTTATGACAGCCAGGAGAAGTACAAACAACAACCACTACTAGAAACCCCCTATAGAGGCATTTGATAATGTCTTACTATAGTGGTTATTAATACACTTCAATTAATAAGACACTTTCAATAAGTGTATTCCATTCCAATGTGGCAATAGATTGGTGTCTCAAGAAATATATTGTGGTGGCACACCTAGGTATTTCAACAGATATTATATAAAGTCGCTTAGCCGTGTCATTTAACCTAATATTTTAGGACATTTGGAATGTCTACAAAGATTACTTTTTAGTACACTTTCTTTTGCTAAGTTTTATATTAAAGATTTTTTTAGTATTACATTTTTATATTTTATTGATTAATTATTTTTATTTATTTTTGTTCATATTCGTAATAATCATTATAAAGAATTAAATTTATCAATATAATAATATACGAAACAAAATAAACCATAGATGGAAACATGTGGATGCCATTGAAATTATTCCACTATAATATAATATTAAGATAGTGTATATTTAAAAATTATCTATGAGTGCTTTTCATAGAATGAAACTTTGTTCGAAAAAAAAACTAAAAGTATTTTATTCTAAAACTCAATTCAAAATGTCAACTTCCGAAGCTTCCAAAACAGGAGACCACATGGTGCTGAAGCCCTTAGTTTTCTTCTCTTACCTACACAATTATTGTGAAGAGATGTAAGAAGCGAGACAAACAATAAAACAATTTAAAGTATCAACATGATTTGGAAGGATGAGAAACATACGAAGGTGCATGGCCAAGCGATCATTTCCCCCGTTACATCTCCAATCTTTTGAAATTTACCATAACCTCTAAATAAATGTTCTTCATGAACGATGCTCACCGTCACAAATACTTCGCACCAATTTGGACCCAGAATGTGCCCGCCTACATCTTTACTTGGGTCCATGCTTTCAATGGATCCTTTAGCAACAATTTTTGTGGAATCACTTACACTTTTCAGAGAAACATATGATCCAACGTTATAAGAATATCAAAACATCTTTGTTATACTTATGAAACAATAGGATCATATGGCAATGCATATGAAAATTTGAGGCACACTAATTAAAAGGTTGAAAAAGAATAATCACCTTAAGAGTTGGAGCTGCTGTTTTTTGGTTTGGGGGAACATTAATGTGTAGAGATTGTTGTCCAGCGTCACCTTGTTCCTCAATTTTTAAATGCTTGGATGTATTCTGAGTTGTCTCGCGAGTATTTGATTGGCTAATTTCTTTACTAGTCATTTGCATGGTATTAGACTGGTCTTGCCCAATGGTTTGAGCAAATACATCATCCTGATGAATTGGATCATCATCTTCATCAATTGGATCATCAACATCTTCTTGGGATTTATTGGTGTCTTCCTGCATATTTCCCTAAACAAAAAAACAAATCAATTTGCTATATATTACATATGATAAATACTAGAGATGATTGATCTAGACTTACATTTGTGCTTCTTGTGCAATTGGAGTCCCCATTATGATTTAGGAAGCATGCACGAAGCAACTCAACACGGTTTGGGGGTTGTCTATTTTTCTTTGTCCACGAATAGAATATTATTAATTAAAACACAAAACATAATAATAATAATAATAATAATGAAACAAAAAGTAAAACAAATGAAACAAAGTACCATTTTATATTCAACTCGAGCAAAGGAAGTTTACCCAGTTTTTTGATCATTCACCCTTTTGGCTCTAGCATTCTTTCTATTTCGACTCACTTTCTGAAATCAGGTTCAAAACAAGTCAAATCAAGACATGAAAGTAATCAGTATCCACTTGAAAAATACCACAAACCTTTGTAGCCTCCCTATTCCAGTAAGTACAAATCTTCATCCATTCGACAGCGGTAACTCTAGCATCCTTTTGGTCCACTAGAACTTCCACGGAAGCTTCATACCAATATTTAACTTTTAGTCGATTTTTCCCAATAGAACTCAAAATCTTTTTCTCTGCAATGCGGGGGACATGGAATTGCAACTGCGATATATAGGTAATCATTATACTCCAAAATAAGGGTAAAGACATCAAGATCAATTGAAACAACATATTAAAGTATCCAAGTCAATCATTACCTTCACAATATCAAGAATCTCATCTTTGTTCTCTATATTACGCCAATCCTCGTACTATATTATAATTGCTAAATAATTTTTAGAGTTTGGTAGTCCTTCCCACTCATTTATTTATTTAATTGTTTTTCCATGCAAATTATCAATTTTATAACCCCCCATTTAATTTAGTCAAAAGCATTTTTCAATAAACATTTTCTCCTATTTATTTCATTATTATTTCACTTATTACTCTTCTATATTATAATTGCAGAATAATTTTTAGAGTTTGGTAGTCCCTCCCACTCATTTATTTAGTTAATTGTTTTTGCATACAAGTTATATATTTTATAACCCCCCCATCTAATTTAGTCAAATGCATTTTTCAATAAATATTTTCTCCTATTTATTTCATTATTATTTCACTTGTTACTCATTATCTTTATGATAATAAATTATTCACTTATATCTAATTTTATAATAATAAATGGTCCTTTATTATTAAACAATATACTGTCATTTGATCTCCCTTCTATTAATTTTTGTTTTTAAGATTACAAAGAAATCATTTTTCATTATTAGCTGAATTTGATGGTAAATGATTTCAATATTCTAACCATTAATTTTTATTTTTAACATTGCAAAAATAATTTCTTATTATTAGGTGAATTTGATTGGCCTTTAAACGGTTTCGGTAATTCTAACCCTTTAAATTCCTACTGCATTTTCTTCTTCTCTTCTTCTTCTTTTTCTTCTTTTTCTCAATGATAGCTTAGATTTTTCCGTAACTCAAAAGAATATTAAAAGTCACATAATGTAAATTTACATATATATATCCAAAGAGTGTAAGATTTAGCCACTTCTATTTTCTTTTCTTTTTTTTGCTCTTCAAAATGTTTACTTTTACCTCTCAATCTCGATTCTATAAGAGGTTATCATCTTCCATTACTCATCTCCTTCTTTTTCTTTCCAATCTCAGTTTTTGTTTTAGATTTTTTTTTAAAGTTTTTTTATTGTGATACAGAAACTTGATTTTATTTCATTTTTCACTGATCTTGCCTTTTTTTTACAATCAGAATATTATATATCATTTTTGTTAAAATAAGAAGTGACACGTTTTAGTGATAAATTTTTTACTACTGATAAATTTGTTAACATATTTTGTAGATAATATATTAGACGTAATGTAATTTACCATTTTAATTATTAAAATAAATTCTTTTATATACTTTACACTAAGTCATTATACATAGTATATGCGCAAAGTGTGTCTAATCCATCTGGTGTACTCTAATGTAGGAGAGTCAAATCGGGCGGGTTTGGTCGGTTCGGATGAATTCGGGTTGGGTTAATCGGATTTTTCCTTTAAATAGACCCGCCCAAAACCGAACCGAAAAATATGTAACTCTGAACCGAACCGGCCAAATTAATTTTTGGGTTAACCGATTCGGGTGTCATTCACCCGCAAAGACTTCATAAAACAATTTGGGAACTTTTTCTCCCAAAAAAATACAGAGCAGAACAATTTGGGTACTTTTTTTCCCAAAACATACAGAACAGAAATTTTAGGAAGATGAAATGCTCTCACAATAATACAGATCTGAATACATTTCATGAAGATTGACGAATACATGTTCTTTCCAAAAAAAAAAAAAACCAAATAAATCAGTGCAAAGAAACTTTTTATCCCATTGAGACTCTCGATTCGGGCAAACAATATATCTTCCAGATCTACAAATAAGATTCAATTTTAATTTGAGAATAAAAAAAAAGAAAACAAAATAGAAAAAAAACTCTTACCCATTAGTCGTCACTGGTAGTTTGAAGTTGGTGTTGAAATCTGATTTGGGATTGCGTTCATGATGAAACCATGACAACAAAAAAGACTTGGAACCTTGGAGGAGAAATGAGCAGGACATATGTTTTGGATTGAAGATTGGAAAAATAGAGGACTTCAAATCATTCAGAAGCAAGATCAGAGGGAAAAAAATGGAAAAAAAAAAAAAAAGAGGGAGGAGCCCCCTTGGGGCGGCGGTGGGCAGCGGCTTGGGGGTGGTTTGGAGGACTTGGACGAGAGAATTGAGGAGGTGTTTTTGCTTTGACAGGGCAACGACAAAAATAAACCCCAGGAACAAAACTAAACCCCAGTACTACATATTATTATTATATTATTATTATTATATATATATATATATAAATTGTCAGAGTTCGGGTTTTCGGGTGGGCCGCGAATGATTCTTGTCCCACCCACACCCGAACCGAGTAACACTGCAGTTAATCGGGTGAACCCGCAGAATCCAAATTCACCCAATTAACCGAACCGTTTGGCCCGAAACTGGTTCGGTTCGGGCGGGTGTTCGGGTTCACCTGACTAGCTGACACCCCTACTCTAATGTTATAAAAGATGTGGGAATGTAAGCGGATTTTTCTTTGTCGACCCTGAAGTAGAATTTTTAGACTTCATTTTTCTAAGGATTTTTAAGTGGGCTACTTTTTTCTTCTTGTTAATTATTATGCTACATAAATGCCAACAACATCTTTTGTTTTGATGTTGAATATGTAAAAAAAAAACTACTATGTATTACCAACAAATGTATTGAATTTTACGACCGATTGAAGAGTTCTTATTTCATTTATAAGTACATTTTAAATTGTCGCACACAAGATAAAATGTAACGTTTACAAATATCAATCCACAATATATTATATTTATATTGAAAAATTGAGATAATATATAACGTATCGCAAAAGAAAAAAAAATTTTCACTCAGGTAATCTAAATTACCTAATTACACATGTTGATGGTTACTAAATACTCCTTCCGTTCCCAAAATTATTGTCAAGTTTGAATTCTTTTATTTCAGTATAATTTGAATTAAACATGAAAACCCAAACTGGACAATTAGAGAATAATCGTTAAATATCCTTCCTAATTCACACTAATTGGACAATACTGACAATTCCTTGCTATTGAACCCAAAAAATGACTAAGCGTATTGCACTCGCCATCAACAGGATCACCCTGTCATTATACTCAAATACTTTTCATACATGTTGGACCACGGGTTTCAGTTTCAGAAATTTCAGAATCACTTTCAATACCTTAACAATTGACAGTTACATTAGTTTTTTGCAAGTTTAAAGAAAGTGCATACAAATTCACTTTACATTACCTTGCTCATGTTCTATTTCATGAGTACTAAGATTGTGATGGATTTCAGACTCTTTCCTAAGTCTAAGATTGGTTTGGTTGACCATAGGGTTCTTCCGAGTCAAGTCTATAATATATGTTCACAGGAGATAAAATTAACACAATCAACATTGTAGCTACAATATGCCCAAATGTTCGACATAAATAAGGGGAAAATATAATAGAAAGTTCCAAACATGACACAAAATAAACATAGTGCTTGATGTACCAATGTTATGACCGTAATGTGCTGCCCCATTTGGAGTTTGACTTGAGCCCATATGTCCACTATAAACTCTACTATCCACTTAGTTTTTGTTCTAACCACTAAAATAATAAGATACAAATTTACCACAAAAAAAAGAAGAATAATTATTTTTGCAAAGTGATAAAACAATATTAACTCAGCACAAGCAGAGATGAGTTTCATCCAAGAATTCAGAGAAGAAGGTTCAGAAGTAAAAAGAAGAGAGCCTCCCAAAACAGAAGGCGAAACCAGATTGTTCCGACAAAAATTAAGCGATAGACATGTCCTGTTTAAACTCACTTTTTGAACAATACGTAACTCCGTTTTGAAATCCGTAAAAACCACTTTGAACTGCACCCAATGAAGAAGAGTTTTCCAAAAAGAAATTCTAAAAGAGTTAAAAACAAAAGAGATATAGACCTGTTAATGGAAGAAGTCTGATCTGAAAGTTTCTGCATTTTTGGCGATGAACATGTCATGTTCAAATGAGATTTTCGGACAAACTACAAGTCCGTTTATCAATTAGTAAAAATTAAAATAAATTATATTAAATATAGAATAGATTTATATGAAGAAATCTTATAAAAGAGTTCAATAAATAGGAAAAAATGAGCCGCTCAATAGTCATGCCCGAATCTGATTTTCTGCAGTTTTAAAATACAACCAGCAACATGTGTTGTTTGAACCCATATTTTTAAAAATCCATCAAGCCATTTGATAAAACATAAAATCAGAAACAAGCCTTGGTAATCTAGGAAGTGTTTGGTACAAAATATATGCACAGAAACAATCCTAAGATGTGATAATTGAGCACCTCATAAAAGTACTGCCATCAGGATTTTCTCATCTCTGTATGACCGAATTCTTTAAACTCATT